TTCGCGGTGCTGTGGCGTCAATCCGTTCCTAACATCAATCTAAAAATCGCACCGGTGAAGTTTACGACCGGACTAACTTCCAAATATGTGGTTTGATGTCCTAAAACGTTCAAAGACACTTCTTTCATATTTGTCACCATTTTTTGTGCACCCGTGGACCGCGAGTTAGTATTAGCCGAGGGGCCGACACTGCGTGGCCTATGGAAACTGCGACGCCTGACGTCAAGGTTTTTGTTTCTAAGATTTTCGAGCGCACAAGTTCAAAACTACGCACCTAATTCATATCAATGATCGATTCCGACTGAACGTTGAGCATTTCCAAGCAAACATGGCCCAGCCAGGTTAATGCAAATTGGCAACCCGTTCCGACCTACAATCTAGATTTGCGGGGCGCGAATATCTCCACAGAACGCAGATAAAAATTCTGACTAAGCTTCTGAGCTCTACCGACGTAAAAAGAGTCCATTGAACTATTGTAAAGCAGAGAGCAACGGCGACTTATTTCATGCAACTGTTTAACACATGATTTCTTCAGTTTATTAAATACAAAGTTGAGTTAGAATTTATCTCGTGGTGGGTCCCGGCCTTTTCCAGTGATAGAAGCGAAAAATGGGGAAACCAATGAAAAGTACGCCCTTATTGACAAATGGGCTAAATCCCGCGGTTTTTCGGGGGGGGGGGGTGGGTGGGGCTTTTTACGATCATGCGACCCTTTGCCAACCCTGTGCCTCCCTTCTGCCAACGCTCTGGCTGCGCGCCTGGACGTTTTTGACCCAACCTTGGTTAGTGGCGTTATGCACCGTGCATTCAAATTTAAATGAAGACATTCCGTGGCATTCGTTGGTCGAAAACACGTCAACACTACTCATGAATCCTCGAAAGAGGTTCATTACAGGCTACCACGAAGGAGACCTGGCGGTGGCGGCTTACGCTGTTATTGGCATCACACAATACGCGCAAATGTGGTGAATGTGCGCGTTGCTCTTGACAACACATGACCATCTGCACACAGGACAGCAAATGGGTGACGTCACGATTGCATGCCGTTATCTCGAATTGTTTTTGTCCCGTGCTACTACGACCTCCGGCTCTGCTACGACCTCCGGCCGCGTAGAGCCCAATAGCACGCCTGCAAAATTATTTTCGTTGCGCGGAGGAACGTCACAGAAGCATGCGACTGCAGAAATACGGCCTTGGCACAGACAATTTATTGTCAGCGGCAGGCCGATGGACAGGCGGACATTTTTTACACCATCGGGATCCAATTGCCGGACGTTATATTTGGAAATCGTGCTCACGAAAGTCAGATACCAACGACTCTGCAATTATTTTTTTGCATTGATGGCCGCATGGCTAATGGAACGGCAGGATTTGAATAAAGTTATGGCGTCATGGACGCCTGGACGACCCTGCAATAGTCTCCCCGAAATAGTCTGCACATCTTCGCGGGCGTGCAGCTCAGAAACCAGAGGAATTTAAGTCTTACGGAGGTCAGGGGCTGTGAACGGCAGCTAATGACCTTCAAGACGGCTATTTCAGTTCAAAAACCTATAAGATGTGGAATGCTTCCTTTAGACCACTGGAGCACGTTTAGACCACGTAAGACCACTGGGGTACGTTGGCACGTGCCACGCGCAACGCGTCATACTGAGCGGCTCGCACTTTGACAGGACGCAATGCATCGCCGGACTTGCAGGTTCGAAGGCTTCTCAAAACTGCAAAATGTATAGACTTTCATGTTCGCTTTTACAAGCGGTTACGCCGTTGGTGGACTGGTAGTGGATTCGAAGGTCTTTTAAAATTACAAGCGGTCACGCCGTTGGTTGGACGGAGTAATTTTTAAAAGGGATGCATCCATATTAATGTCAGTGGAGGCCAACATTCAGAAATATCAAACAGGAGCCTCCTGATTACTACAGGGGATTTCCGATCAAGCAAAGAGCCTCGTTATCCCAAGACAGAGCCTCGTGTTCAATAATTTGGCCTAATGCAGAGCAGCAGACACAGGTGCCTGGATTCACGGATGGATTCAGGATCCCATAGGCTTTCGGACTCAAGGCACATGTCTGCATAGAATAGCCTCCTAATCCAGATCAGGATCCTTCCGATTCACGACGAGGGGCTCCAGCTGCGGTGAAGACTCATTTTCCTCAAACAGGGGCATCTTCGTCTGGAACAGTGGTTTCGTGAGAGGGTCTTCCTAGTTCAGAATAAATGCTCGCTGCTGTAAAAAGTGCCTTAAAATCTAAAAAAGCAGACTGCCAATTTTAACGGGGGCCTCCCGAGCCAGCAAAGGGCCTCCTTGTCAAAAAGTTAGGCCTCGTAATCCAAATAGCGGATCTCTCGGTGCACAAGAATCTCATGAACCCGAGCTAAAACTCCAAGCTCAGTTATGGGGCCTCTTTAATATGAATTTTGGTAAGATATGCTACAAAGTATTCCGTTTTGGCGAACAGGACGTAACAAAATAGTGTGCAGCCAAAGACATAGTCTTGCCCCTCTGCCTCACCCCTGCTGCGTCCCCCTGCGTATATCTCGGCGCGGCCGTCGTTCACGGGCATCCTCGCGCCCGGGGAAACGTTTTCAGATTTGTGTTCTTCAGGAAAGAATTAACGTCTCCTCCTCGTACGATGCTGTTCTTTATGGTATGTTCTGATTCACCACGGCTCCCGTAGTGGCAGTGCGCATCAGCGTCTAGTCTATTCAATGTGCTAACTGCTGTTACGTAGCGCCGCTTGACCACATCTCATATCTTATCCCGCCTTCCTTCCAGGAGGCCTATTCCCGTCCCAATGTCACCGCAGCTGCATTTGGGTTCGAGTCGCTCCCTCGGCTCGCTATTTGCCCTTGACTGGCGTGGCTTGCGGCCCGTGGCACTGACCGCTCTTATGATCAGGTGATTTCAGAGGTTGGGATGAAACGTGTTGAACATGGCGACACATAAAAACTTTTACCACGAGATCCTACCGGTGACATGTAATTTCACGACCTGTTGGTAGGGGTCGCAGCTCACGCACAAGTACTGTGATGTGAGAGCTCTGATCCCGAATATCCGACCATTCGCAAGATTCCATTTAAATCTTTAATGAAAAGATCAAGTTGTCAAAGGTGTCAACACGTATGCCTGGCAAAAGGCGGTAAATTTGGTCGTTTTTAAATTTTGAATTGATACGTTATTGACGGGGAAAAGCGTGACCGTATGATGTAAATGTGTGATACGAATGCGTGATGCGTGAATGCGTGATGAGTGACCAATTCGGAAAATCTCGATAGATCTAGTACTAGCGATCAAATCGGGCGCGTCCGATCAACAAGTGAAAAGCACAGACAAGGTGGTATACTCCCTTTAATCCCCCATTTGCCTTTACGGTGGCCTATACAGGCTACGTTGAGTATGGTGCTATGGTCCCCTTAAATAAGTGCTCGCAATTTGACCCCTGGTTGCCCCAATGATATTCGCTAGCCTGACATGGCAAGCCCATGAGCCTTTAGAAATTTGAATTTGATGTCTCATTGGGTGTGCAACGTGATATTGCTTATTGGACCCTAATGGCCTGGATGTTTTATGGCTGTACGCCTATATTTTGGCAACCTGACCTTTAGAGGTCAAGACACCAAAATTGTATACACCTGACGTCATGGCGAGCTCGTAGCTTTTGTCTGATTTGAATTTGATGAATTATTGCGCGATGCGTGACGGCGTTTTTGACCTCTAAGCCTAGAGGCTGTGCTACTACCTTAATAGATCAGATTACTAAAAGTGCATACATCTCACTTTGCAAGCACCTGGCTGCCTTCAGATCCGCATTCGATGCATTGTTGACGAAGTAACGAGTGACCACGTTCTCACCTCTAATTGCCTCGGGGCTATACAGTGGTTTGTTAAGGTGAGGTTGAGGTATGATCTCCTTCCGTATCAAGTGCTGCTGACCATAGCGTAGAGTCTGGTTATCTCGCGCGTACTGCATTTCATTTTATGGCCAGTAGTCAGCTGTTAACACCGCCGAAAGTAGTTAACTCTGCAACCAGAGAAGTCGCTTGCCTCCGAAAGTATGTCCACGTGTCTCACGCGCGGAATGGCCCGCACTTTACCACACCTCGCCAAATGTGTGAAGCACAAGCTGTTATCGCTGCGTACAAAGCCCGTGAACCAGGTGGACCTGAGGGTCTTCCCTGTTTGCTTCAAGCATACGCTGGCGCCCGGACCAGTGACCGAGCTACCCGCATAGACCACAACCTGCGCCCCCGGCGGTGCGCACGGCGGCAGGACAGCGGTCCTTTATACACCGAGCGGCGTCTCCCCTGAATGGGGAGACGATCCATATATCTGACATGACGAGCACGCAGCTGTCCCGAGACTGGGATTTAGTGCGTTACTGCCTGCGGATGTTAGGCGACTGGATTCAACAAGTTTCAGCGACTTTTAAACGCGCTGCCAAGTCTTTCTTGTGCCAGAGTTGTTTTATACTGGTCATGCACGCACGCGTTTATAGTTTTTTTTTTAATTCCTCAGCACTTACCGTTCTTTTTTGGCATACTGTTTTATTTCTCAGACTAGTGACACGTAATCGCCACGTATGCATTGGAGCATCAGTTGACGTTAAAAAGAAATATACCTAAGCTGCCAACGATCCATAAATCTGACATGACGAGCACGCAGCTGTCCCCAGACTGGGATTTAGTGCGTTACTGGTAAAGTGATGCGGAACTGCGTTTCTAGGTGCTAATTGTATGGATGCGACGACCTTTATCTGTCAAGTTCTTTAAGGTTCATGTACTTAACGACTTGGGGAGCACGTAGTTATCTTCAGATTTAGTTCCACGCAATTATTTATGGCTGACTTATGTCTTGCCGCGTTCTTTGCGCAAATCCGAATAATCCGAATATGAAGGCGTTGCAACCACACGGAGATGACTGATTAGTGATGACGCAAAACATGCAAAACGCCGATATTTCCGTCTTCTGAGCACTGCTTGTAGAAACCAATTGATACAAATACCAATTATATAAATGTATTTGGAAGGCATGTCTTGTGGTAAGCAAAAATATGGCACATACGGCTTTAGGGCCAGGAGCTTACCATATCAACTGGTTGAGTAGCATCAAATATGAAACCCCCGCGCCTGATATGCACTGGAATGCTATGCTTGGTCAACAAAAATGTGCTTACAGCACGCACTAATCTAGAATAGGATCAAGTCAGAACACTACCTTCCGTCCCAAAAGTAACCCTCAAAAGAACTAAACATTGCGCTGCCTAAAAACGCCCGTTGCAAACAAAGCATACTCAGTAACTAGCGAGCATGAGAAGTGCCGGCGGTGCACAGATACCGCTGGAGAGATTCAGTTCACGCTGCCTGCGCGGCGGCGTCGGTCCGCCGGAGCTAACCTGGCTCACAGCGGCCGGCGCTGGCTCCTCACCGACGCTGTCACCACCTACCCGGCGGCTGGGTGGTGATGGTGCCAGCGCGGAGGAGCCGCCGATCCCGACACAGACCACCAGCACGGCAACAATCTTTGAGCGGCGGCTGGCTGCGAGCGGTAACATGGCAGCCTCTACCAGGTATTACAAAACACGCGGGCGAACTCATCCGGCACGGACTGGCACGGCCTCGCTGCGGGGCGCCGGTCAACCCCACAGCGTGGCGCGGTCGGGGCGCCGGGCCGCGCGCCGCCGAGCCCGGACGTCCACCGGCGGCCGCGCGCTCAGTGGTGGAAGAGCCGGGTGGACGTGTGGATCATGGTCATGCCGAGGGCGTCGGCGGCGGCCGTCACCGCCGCGTCGTTCAGCGAGCCGCCCGGCGCCATGATGTAGTCGGCGCCCGACTGAAACCGCAGGCGGACGCTGTGGGGCACGCTCTGCATGGCTCGCCAGCGCCTCACGGCGAACACGAAGGGCAAGCTCATCTCCGAACTAGTCGTGTCAGGTTTGGAAGCTTACTACGAATCCCGGTGCATGGGTTTGGTCCCCAGTAAGGCATCAAGCGCCGTGGCAAAATGCCTAGTTCACTGCCCTCTAGGAGATAGGAGGATCCACTCCAGGAGATACGCCCAAATGCCGGAGTCCAATACGTGGAGACCACTCCGTTGGTAACGGACACGGAGATGGGCCGTTCTAAGAGCTTCATAAAAGTCTGCACTCAAAAGTTCCATTAACCACACTTAAGGCTACATGTGGTGTAGCACAGATGTTACGAACGTCACAATGCAAACGTTACAATACAAACGTTACATTATTATTTCAGTCGACTCTCATCATTTCCGACCTAGTTACTGTTTACTGAACTCCGACTCCCATCACACAAGGTTTGAAAGGGCACAATTTCCCTGGATACAACGTGCTTTTCGTTGATTGATTTCATTGAGCCCGAATAAACCTCGGAGTCAAGCACAACCTTACTGTCAGGAACAGCCTGGTTAAAAGTACGTTACGTCTTGCGTCTTGACCGAAAACTCAAAACCTCCTGTGACCAAACTCTTCCGGGGCACCGATCAGCACAGCTCACCAAACATCTGACACGGCCCGCGGCCGGCGTCCGCACAACAGACCCACTTAAGCCACGGAAGACAGGCCACAGGCCACCACAGCCCACCGCCCTCCACTGCATCCAGCAGCGGTCGCCGCGGCCGCTTCCGGCCCGCGCCACGCTCACCTGGCGCGCGCGGTGCACGTTATCGGCGAACGGGAAGAACGCGTCCGAGCTGACAGCGACGCCGCGCAGTCCGCCGACCCAGTCCCGTCGCTGCTCCGCCGTCAGCTCCTCCGGCTCCGCCTCCAGCAGGCGCAGCAGCTCGGCGCGGCTCATCTCCTGGCCGACCGCGGCGCCGACCACGCAGTCGATGACGTTGGCGCGCTCGGCGCGCTTGACGGTCTCGCGGAAGCGCAGGCCGAGCACGGCCGGGTGCCGGCGCAGCCACCAGCCGTCGGCCTTGTCGCCGGCCAGGCGCGTGCAATGGATGCGCGACTGCTGGCCCGCGCCGATGCCGATTACCTGGCCATCGCGCGCGAAGCACACGCTGTTCGACTGCGTGTACTTGAGCGCCACCGTCGCCACGATCAGGTCGCGCGCGGCCGACTCCGGCAGCTGGGGAGGACGGGGTGGGGAGGGTCAGAGCCCAGAGGATCGGCGACTGACGACACCCGCGTCGTCGCGGACGGCACAGGCCGCGCACGCCGCGGTCGACGGAGCGTGGTGACGACCGTACATCTCTGTATTGGGTTGGTCGCGGCTGTTGTTATTCTGAGAGCATGCGTCGCAGAACCCAAGCCCCTTACGCACGTCTATCACACTATCGCTGACAGCCTGACTGGAAACGAGGTCGACAAGCGGCTGACACGATACGCCGGCCGTGGCAGTACCGCGGAGCAGGCACACACCCGCGGCACGTTCCCGTCTCGCCCGTCTCGCCGCACCTCCTTATTGGCGGAGACGATGTTCTTGAGCATGTCCGGCCCAATGACGGCGTCATTGCGAGACTGCACCAGCCGCAGGCCGAACACGGTGCGGGTCTCCAGCGCCGACGGCCTGTAGTCGGGGTCCATCTGCGGACGTCACGCCAGGTCAGGCCAGGTCAGGCCCAGGTCACGCCAGGTCGGCACACCGCCGGCCGACGCACGGTGCCAGTCTGCAGCGCCGGTGCACCGGCCTGTGGCGAGGGCTCCCTCAAGCGGGTCCGGCCGGGCCGACGCGCCGCCGGCTGGCACGCGGACGTCGTGCTCTGCTGCTGCGGACGGCATACAGCACTGACATTTCGGGTGAGATGCGTGAACGGGACACGGGGAGGGGAGGGGGGGGGGGGGGGGGCAAAAGAATGAGAACAAGATGCTGGTGACGGTGCAATTAAATCGACGTGACGCTCATATCAGCGAGTGTTCAAATCTTTCATAAATCAAACGTTCGATCGTTGTCCAAAGCCATCGCCCCAGTCTGAGACACATATGCTGGACTCGGAATCCAGCAGCGCTGAGCACCAGCATCATAATGTGTACTACATTTGGACCGCACATACCGGACAGCCAGTGCAACGGTCGGAAAGCGCGGCAGCTGAACTATGAGATCTTGAAACCCTGGCACTGAGTTTGTCAGACTCAGGGTTGTCGGATCCGAGGGATGACTATCGTGTATCGTGCGGCATAAAAATCCCCCCCCCCCCCCCCCTACAATGTCTGGCAGATAAATCTGGATACACGATCATACCTTGCACTGGGGCCGCAGGGCCTGACTGTCGGCAGTGCCACACCCAGGGGAGGGATGTGGCGGGCTTCAGGGCCCTTCTTTTAAATGGGGGGCCCTCGCGGCACGGCAGAGCGTAGAGACACCACATGAGAGGCTCATGCCGATTACCAGCCCGTGATGCACAGCAATACGGTGTGCCTATCGGAACATTAGTCTCAATCTCAGGTGACATTGACTACCTGCGGTTGCATACCACCCCCGGGATTGAAGGGTGCACTTTTGAGAGCCTCTGCAACGCCAAGGCTGCATAACACCCCAGGGATGCAATTTTCCACTTTTCTTGGAGTTTTCTTTTTCACTTTTCATAGAACGCGAGAAACCGTTATGAACTTCAAAGGACCCTCACACAAGGTCATTTACTGACATCCAGACAGGCGCTGCTCCTAAAGGCCATCGCTGGTGAGGTAAATCAGCAAAACAGCGTGACTGCATGAGTCCCACTGACGCCGCAGGGGGCACCTGTTCGAGAGAGCGAGGCTCCAGGGCCAGCCAATCAACGCGGCGGTCCGCCACACCTGGTCAAAGGCACGGCTGAGGCCACCGCCGAGGCCGCCTCTGAGACCGCCTCTGAGGCCACCGCCGAGGCCGCCTCTGAGACCGCCTCTGAGGCCACCGCCGAGGCCACCTCTGAGGCCGCCTCTGATGCCGCCTCTAAGACCGCCTCTGAGGCCACCGCCGAGGCCACCTCTGAAGCAGCCGCTGAGTCTGTCTCTGAGACCACCTCTAAGGCCGCCTCTGAAACCGCCTCTAAAGCCGTCTTTAAAGTTGCCGCTAACGCCGCCTCTGAGGTCGCCTCCGAGACCACCTCTGAGGCCGCCGCTGAGACCGCCTTTGAGGCCGCCGCTGATGCCGTCTCTGAGACCGCCTCTGAGGCCGCCTCTGAGGCTGCCGCTGAGACCGCTACGGATCGCGTGCTGGAGCGTGAAACCCTCTGAACATTTGCCTAGCCTCCTCTTTAGCTAAATCTTGGTTGCAACGTTCGTAGGTCGTGGCTTCGATGTGCATAATTGAGGGCGTTTCGCAGAACTCGGAGCAGGGAGCAGGCGGTCGGGAGAGACCCCCTTTTAGCACAGGCAGAATGGTGTTGCATGGAAATAACGCTCTAGGAGTGGTACTCCGCTGTGCGGTACATCAAAATGTCTTCGTCTTTTATTTACCCAGAGGCCAGACACGCGTGGAAACGTTCCGGAAAAAGCTGATATCAACGGCTATCGGTGACGTCACTGTATCGACAACGCCGTCCCTGGAAATCTCACATTGGACATTCCTCTGTTCATAACTGTGACCTAATTTTACATCATATCGACATCCACCCGCCGAACTGGGCCGCAGGATAATTAACGTGAGAGTATAAATACAAGCGTGATGACCCCCAATCCACACGACGGGCTGTTCTTCGACCACCAGGTCCTGCAATATCACACACCGACAAACCAGACGCCGCACGGCCCGTCAAAACTTGGGTCATCGAACATTGTCCATACAGGACTTCCCCGACGCGCCGTGCCGACGGGCGGCATCGAGGCCGCGGCCGATAATCACCCGGCCGCGGAGACGTCCAGCGTTGCCTAGCAACGGCGGAGATGCGGCGTAGCTCTGGCGCGCGCCACACCGCTCTGGCGTGCGACAGGTGTGTGAGAGGCCGGCTGGACTCAGCCGTGACTGTCGTGACACGCGAGCGGACGGCGGCACGCAGCGGCCGAACGTGACGACGCGCTGGCCGCGCGCGGTGCGGGAGGCGCGACCATGCTGTGACGAGTGCGGGTGCCGGCTCCGGCACGCGGCGCCGCACTGGGCCGGCACGTGACGGTGGAGCGCCTGTGCAGCCTTCAGGAGGCGCTCGTCGACAGGAGGCGGACGGCGTGTCACTAGCAAGGGAAGACGTGGAGGCGTGGCGCGGAGACCCAGTGACGTTCGGCGCCCAGCCCCCCGCCCGTGCAGGTGCCAGTCTCGCTCAGTGATGGTGCGTGCCGTGGGCAACGATGGCCAGGTCGTGTTGCAGCACTAGCAGCGTCATCAAGACAGTTATCCCACGTCGTGGCCACAGCGAAGAGCGCGCGCACACACGCTGGACATCCGCCGGCTCGACCAGTCCGAGTGCAAACCAGCCGCGCACGTGCGATCAGGCGCTCCCCAGACAAGCGTCGGCGGCACCCTGGCCGGCAGCGCGGCGCTCGCCGAGCCGGCGGCGGCCGGCCGGCTGCCGGCGGCGCTGCTGGCCGTTCTGCTGCCGGCGCTGGCCGCCTCGCTGGTGGGCAACGGTGCGCTGGCCGCGTCGGCGCTGCGCCATCGGGGGCGAGACGCGACCGAGCTGGGGGTACACATCAATCACGCGGTGGCCGACCTGGTCGGCTCGCTGCTGGCCGGCGCGCCGCTGCTGCTGGCCGGCCGGCTGCCGGCCGCCTGTTTCCGCGCGCTCTGCCTACTGCACGCCGGCCCGTCGCTGGCCAGCGTCGTGCTAGTGTCGCTACTGCGCTGGCGGCGCCACTGCCGGCCGGCGGCAGCGACAGCGCAGGCGCGCGCAGTCGCGGCCGCAGCGCTGCTGCTGGTCTGGGTGGCGGCCGGCGGTGGCGTGCTGCTGCTCACGCTGCCGGCCGGCCGGCCGCGGCGGCGACCATTGCCCGATCTGGCGCCGCTGCTGCTGGCCTGCTACGCGGCTGGGCTGGCGGCGGTTGTCGGCAGCGCCGCGCTCGTCTGGCGCCAGCTGAGCGGCGCCGCTCGCCGCCAGAGGGGCGCGCCGTCGGCCACACATCGCCGTGCAGGCGTTCCACACGCCGCCGCCCAGTCCGGCCGCGACGGATAGCGCCGGCCAGACCCGGACCGCGTCCGAAGTCGCTCAGCCAGCCGTTCTGCGCGACCAGCGGCCAGCGACGAGTTCACTGTCCGTCGCTGGCGCTGTCCAAGAAGGCAACTGCCGGCAGAAATCGGGAGAGGAGGGGCCGCTCGTGCCGCGGCGCCGAGAGGGACCACCCACGACGACGCTGGTCGTTTCCAACGGCGTGAGTGATGAGCGCGACTCGGGATCCGAAGCCGAGTCGACCTCGGGCGTCGGAGTCGCCGTGCCCCCCCTCCAGAAGACGCCGGGCGACCATCGCGGCGACGCACGCCCTGCGCGAGCCGCGAGCGGAACGGGACGCTGAGCGGCGGCTGTTCCCCGACGGCCGACGTCGCGACGACCTGGCGCCGACCGTCTGTGCACTCGCCCCGCCCGCAGGCTGGCGACGGGTCAGGCGCCGCCGCCGACGGCCGGCCGCGCCCCGCGACGGGCGCGGCGGTCTCCGGCGAGTGCGACACCGGCTGTGATCGCGGCCGCCGGCGCGGACCGGCGGCCGGCGACAACGGCGTCAGTGAACCAGACAAGACGGCGTCCGGTGAGGGCTGCGCGGACCGGCGGCCGCAGCCGGACGGCGGCCTGTCACTGCGCATCGTGCGGCGACGGCGGCGGGAGCGAGTCCGCGCCGACCGGCGGCGGCTGTCGGGACGGAACAGTCGGTGTTGACGGCGAGGAGAGGCCCGTACCTGGGCGCGCGGCGGGCCGGAGCAAGCTGGAGCGCAACGGGACGGGCGCCGCCGCCCCGCCCAGCGCCTCCCCACCGCCGCCGCGCGCTGCCGTCCGTCCCCGGGCGGCCTCCAGCGGGTCGGCTGGCGCGTCGGGCGGCGAGCTCAGACCGCAGAGGCGAGCCGGCCGCCAGCGCCGCTCCAGCCCGCTGCTGCTGGACCCGGCGGCGCTGCAGCCGGACGGCTACCTGGGCGACGCGTCAGCACCGCCGTCGGTCGGCTCCACGCCGCGGCGACCAAGGCAGCTGCGCTCCGCGCCCGCGCGCGCAGCCAGCGCACCACCCGCGTCGTGCCAGCCTCGGCCGGAGCCATGCCGGGCGGCGCCGGCGCCGCGGCGGCACGCGGCGCCGACCGGGCGCGTGGCGCGGCGGCGCGCGGCGGCCGCCGCCCGCCGCCGCCGGCCCGCTGGCGGCCGCCACGCGGCCGCGCGGTGGGCCGCGCCGGCCCTGACGCTGTGCCTGCTGTACGGCCTGGTGTACGGTCCGCTGGCGGCGCTGCTGCTGGCCGTCGGCCGGCTGCCCGAGTACGACGAGCCGCTCAGCCTGGCGTACGCCGTGGCCGTGCTGGTGACGTGCGCCTTCAGCCCGCAGCTGCACGCCTGCCGCGCCGCCTTGCTGCGCAACAACGTCAAGCGCACCATGCTGTGCCGCTGAGCGCGGCTGGGCGGACGTAGCGGGGGAGACACGCCCAGCCAGACGGGCGCCATCCCGCAGCGACTGGAGTTAAGGCCTGGGGTCACCAGACCAGCAGTGTTGACTTCGCGACAGGTATCGCAAGGCCAGTCGAGAAGTGAAGCTGGCAACGAAGAAGACGCGAGATTTCGTGCATCCGCATACGAATGAGGTGGAAGAGATCCCCGTTCCAGACCCGTCCACCTAGATTTAATATTACGATACCCTGGCAAAGGTGTGAGCAACATAAGCGCAGGACCGTTCCGCAATAAATTCACATTCGTTCTCAACGCAAGCCGCCGTACTCTCTAGCGGACAACCGTCACACAATTCTGCGGTTGGGTAAAGGGCGCCAGCCCCAGACCTGTGCGTGTGTCAGCTTCAGGCCACGTTTGACAGGCTCCGGTGCAGTGGCGTTAAGGTGCATGACGTGTCGCCTGCGTAGGAACGCATGCGACACATCAGGTGACGTGAAAGGACAGAAGCAAATGAACGGGACGAACACGTATCTATGGGCTGTCCGGAATGCACGCAATGGCAAGACGTTTTCAGCCGTGCATGTCCGTGGCGTGGATCTCCACCGACAGAGCCAGCGGCGTCAGATGTTTAGATCCATGACACAAAATCAGCCCTGCGCAGTGTCCTGCGGCCCCCTCCGTTGCCACGGCGCTTCTCCCTCGGAAGCAGCCTTCCCTGCAGCCGAGCGGCGCGTGGCTAGACGCCTGCATGGCGCAGGACAACCTGCCGCCTCGTCCCCCGGCATCGGGGCAACGGCGCTGGGAGAACTGGCTACGCAGCGTGCCATGTGTGGTAAGATATGGGATGTGTTGGGTTGCTGTGCGCCGCCCCCCTGCTCCGTGCAAGCATACCACATGGCGGCAGGGAGAGTCAGCCAACTAGGTTTTGCAGCTTGATACATTTATAAATGAAAGTGGTTCATTGCAGCTGCGAAGAACACGACACCTCCATTTGACAGTACTCATAGCCTTATTCCCCGTCGAATAACCAAGAGATTGGAGAGGTATTTAATTTTTCGGTTCCGTGCCTCCGGCAAAACGGTTATGAGCAGCTCCAGGCATGAGCAGTAGCAGGCATGTGGCCGAAATATGAATACACCTCTATCTCTCTGTCTTTTCCTCCTGGTTATTCGAAAAGGAATAAGGCAATTATTATTGTCTCAGATTTCGAATTGTGTTGTACACGATGGGTGGCTTTTTGCTCGTCATGCATACTGAGCACGGGCAGTTGTGAGCACCCGAACCCCACCACCAAATAGTGCGTTTGAACATGGGCATGATTACAAAGGGATTATATTGGAGCCCTATCAGGCCCCGACAAGGCACAGGCTCAGAAGCCGACGCCTTGCCCAGCGTCAGCAGCTTGTGCTGTTGAGCGAGGAGGCGGGTCAGCTCGCGGTGCTGGCACCTCACCTGCAGCACGCAGTACTTGCCGCCCTTCTTCTTCTTGAGGACCTCGAGCGCCTCGTCCGTGTAACCGGGTGCGATCACGCCGTCCGAGACCTGCCTCGGTGGTGCGGACGGGTCACGTGACGGGTCAGATGGGTCACGCATGCTGACCCCAGCTGAGACAGACCACGGCCATCTGGCTGCCGCAGAAAAGCAGCAAACCAACAGATGCCGATGTCCCGAAGTCAGTGCACCACCAACAGGGCAACATTGCTACCATAAGCGTGGTGATTCAGCGTGGTAATTACTCGGGTCTCGGGCACCGCGACTGTACCACACCTCCATGACCACGCACCTCCCTGCTGATGACCCGCGCCGTCGGCAGGTCACACATCTCCGAGAGCGCGATGAAGTCGCCGAACGAGGACATGCGGTCGGCGCCGCGCGCCCGGGCGTACGCGGCTGCCAGCGGCGTCAGTGTCTCGGCCAGGTCCGACACCATGTTCACCTGGGCCTGCAACGGGGCGCGGTGATCGGATTCACACGACGGAACGGACGGCAGCTGCCAGCATCGGAGGGCCGAGAGTGCACTGCCCGCATCGGTGGGTCGAGAGTGCACAGCTCGCCCACCCCGCCATGGACGGGTAAATCAGGAGGCAGCTCCAACAAATTAGTACAAGACGACGAAATGAAACGAAAATAAACATATTACAAAGAATCTTATTTTGGAACTGGCGGAAACTTGCTTAATAACTCTCATCAATAAAACAGTTCTCCGATAGCCTCTATTAACACCCGCTTCACGGCAGCTGGCTCTAGCAGGCAAATGGCCAACACTAGCAGCCAGACAATCCCTTTGGCAGCCGTGTAGTTTCCTATCAAGCCATGAAGCTTCAACCTGCCCCTAGCTTTGAGAAGAACGTGAGTGAAAAAGAAATCGGCCTTTACAACCTCAGCGAGCACCAGCCGGCACTGGACCTCGACCTAGGAGAGCGGCAGACCGACAGCGGCTTCAGCCGGCACTGACCTCGACCTCGGAGAGCGGCAGGCCGACAGCGGCGCCGGCTGGACTGACATGCTTGAAGGAGGCGGCCGCCGGGAGCGCCAGCGCAGTCGTCAGCTCGCGCACCAGTTGGAACCCGTTCAGTGCGTCCAGCAGATTGATGAAGCCAGGCGAGCCGTTTAGCACTGCGGCAGACGCAGGCAGAGCACGGGCTCAGCGAGGGTGACCACGAACACCTGACGGAGCACTGATGTACTGGCAGGGTGCAGGCATACAGCCGTACATGGGCTCAGCGAGGGTGACCACGAACACCTGACAGAGCACTTATGTGCCGGCAGGGTACAGGCGCACAGCCGCACGTGGCCGACACCCGACCGACACAGGCCAGGCGCTCGTGTACCGCCTGCCAAGCCGGGCCAGTCCAGGTTAAAACCCAACTTTTGCTCACCCTACGTGGTTTTCATACGTCCACAGACTGAAGGTGATAGTCAGGGTGAGGCAGCAATGGTGTACAAGGGCAACATGACGTCTGGGGTTATGCCACGATATTCCATGACAATTGCACTTAAACCATTCGTATTTACGACAACAGGGGTGCAAAAGCGAAAGGTTTACAATGGTTTTGCTGGTTCCATCCTAAGTTATTGAAACATCAGTGCCATAAAACGTTCCGATTTCAATTTCATTTCAAGACTTGAACTAACTGCGACCTTGACTTCGAGTGATCTTATCTAAAGCAATAAGCACTGTTAAATTTCACGTCCTACGTCCTTCCACCTCCAGAAACAATGGACAAGGAGATCTAGTGCGCGCATAGCTCAGAATGCGTCACGAAACGCCGATTTTCCACGTCTTTGGCGCGAAGAGCTTTGAAAACAAGGTCTTCCGTGACAGTACCAATGCTCTCCACCAATCCAAGCCGCAATGCAATTACACTTTCAACCATCTACCACAAACATTCAGCTTACGACCAGTCCCGCTCGGAGGTTGGTCCGAGTCGCGTCTCAAAATCCGCTACGCTCGCAGACGGGTCCGAAAGATGGGACTCTAATCCGCTCCCCGGAGGGGTCCGGGTGGCAGGTGACTGGTCCCTTCCGCCCGGCGCCGTGTCCACGTGACAGACCGCTGACCCCCACCGCCTGTGGACGGATCCGAGCGGCCCCCCTCACCAGCAGGCTCCCCTGGCCCCCCGCGGGCCCGCAGCATCCGAGGTGAGGGTCCGCCGCCAGCGCGTCACTGCCAGCCCGGGCCCGACACGGCCAGCGCGTCACTGCCAGCCCGGGCCCGACACGGCCAGCGCGTCACTGCCAGTCCGGGCCCGACACGGCCAGCGCGTCACTGCCAGCCCGGACCCGACACGGCCAGCGCGTCACTGCCAGCCCGGACCGACACGGCCAGCGCGTCACTGCCAGCCCGGGCCCGACACGGCCAGCGCGTCACGCCAGCCCGGGCCCGACACGTGCCGGCGCGCCGCTCACCCGTCAGCGGCAGCGTGGCCGTCCGGTCTGAAGATGAAGGCCGGCTTCTGGTGCGGGTTCATGCCGTAGCGGAGGCGTGAGGGCGCGCTGCGGATCCGGCAGCTGCTGCACAGGTAGCTCGCGATGGTCTCGTCGTAGCCGGCCGTGTGCAGGAACGCCTTCAGCGCCAGGCGCTCTCTGTCGGACATAGCCACCGGTGACGAGCGACGCTGGGGCACGAGCTGGCCGCCTCTAGCGACGACCGCAGCGCCGCCACCGCGAGAGGACGCTCAGAGCTCCCAGCTCAGTGCGATGCACGGCCAATGAGATGGACGGCAGTGAGTGGCTTGTGCGATCACACATGCTGTTAAGTCAAGCAGATATGCACAGCTCGGCTCCAGTGCAATGCATGGCAAGGGCCGCTCCCGTTGAAAAAAAACCTTAAGTTACCTTCGGACTAGCAGAAAGAAGCAAAGTGAGTAAAACAGCTTCAAATATCTTGAAGTCCACCTGGTAACAGTTACGTTGATTCCGAGTGAGAGAAACGCGAGAGAAATTTTCGGCTGGGTGTGCGAACTGCACCCAATATCCTCAGTGTCTGAGAAGGCGACCGCAAAACAACTTCCATCAAGCCAACACTCGCCACGTGGTCCAGTCGCCCAAACTGCCGCCATAAGACGCCTTGCCAACCAGACTCGGACTCGGTTTCACCAGGTTCGCGGCACCAGTTCTCGAAACTAACACTTGGACACCGCTTGACTGAGACACATGTCACACTTCACTGAACGTACAGCACTCTGTTAGGATGCAAAAACAGATTGACGGGCACCAGCATCCCCTCCCCCCGAGTTAACAAACGTGCGGCTCACCCCGCCAACGTCCCCCGGTGGCGAATAGCCGGAGCTGCTCGATCGACTCTCCAAGTACAGGACTGGCACACAACTAGCAGGGAAACTCTGGGTCACACGCACACGCGCACACACCTACACCCGCACCTGAACCCGCCCTCCACTCAATCACGCTCTCATACACTCACTTACACGCACACACACACACAAACAACCCAGGCCTACTCACACTCCTCACTCTTATCCCTTCCTCCCTTGTGAAGCGGTTCCTACCAAGCTGCACGTTAAAGAACCCACTAAGCAAGGTTCAGGGTTGACAAGGTGGCACACTTATGTACCGTAACGTAACCCTCCTGATCGTGTCATTATTTCTATTGCTCGTGCGGAGAAAAAGGTGACGTAAAGACTCTACATCACGTATCTGTAAACGTTAATGACTAAAAACAGTCCTCCAGCCACCCGCAGTCAACCACGGGGCCACTCCAGTGCGCTCGGCGGAGACGCAGGCTCAAGCCAGCCGACCAAAGGTCGAGAACCGAGGCCCAGGTGCATCAGCGCACTTTTCGGCCTTGCAGTTCCGTTTGCCATCCGCCACCTCCCTGCTGGGCCGCTGGGCCGCTGTCGCCGTCGGGCGGCACATCCGCCCGCCTTACGCGTATGCATGACGTCACCAAATGATGACGTAATTTGGAGCATATCAATGATGTGAAATGTCGTTATGTAGAGAAGTTTCTTAGCCTTCCGAGCTCACTGAGAGCTACAATAAATCATTTTCCAGCGCGTCTGATGCTGGCCATCAAATGTGGAACATTCCTTTTAACACTTGAGCGTTATGTTGCAACACTTCCAACATAGCGTTAAATACTCATTTGCCGTAAACACAACAGTTTAAACCTTAACACCTATATTTTTACAGGCGACTCAACTGACCGGTGGTGCAGAACGCTTAAAAAAAGTAACACGATCGCACGCACGCACACTCCTGGGTTTCAGGGCCAAGTATGAAATCAAGTAGGGACGACAATACCGCGAATTTCTAAGGAACCAGCAGTTTCCATGAAATTGGTGAGTCCAGGCGACGCGAGCATGAACATTAATGATGCACTCCGCTGGGAGCGAGGGTGAATTCAGGGGGAAAGGGGGGGGGGGGGGCGACCAGGCTACGGCTTCACCTCAAAATCGCCAAAATCGGGCAAACAAAACGGATTTATGTACTCTGAAGACAATCGGTGTGTGCCATTGGGGCTTCACGACGCACTCGGCTGCTGAGGTCATATAGGTCGCCTGCCTCTCACTCTGACAGGACGGGCGGAACCGCGGGGTGAAGATAATCCAAACATTTTTTTCGACCGAAAGTTTGTGACGCACTTCTCCTTGAGGCAAATAGAAAGAAAACCAGTAAGCTTGTGAAAATCCAGACACCTTTCTGAGCAATTCTTTCTCCAAGCTGGCCTTATCCAACAAGGCGGCATTCTGGACCCGCCCGTGGCTGGAGCCATGACAACATCCGTGTGCGTCCCATCCGCGGCTGCGTCCTAACGACCGTAGCGTCCGGTGCAGGCCCGCGCCAGAACCCGCTCAGGACGTGCCCGGCGCGCCGCTCGCCAGTCCGCAGCAGAACACAACGTTAGCCGCTCCTTCACCAGACGAGGCTCGGCTGGGTAACGCGTGCTGACGCAAGGCGCTGTCGGATACTGGAGCGGTATTCAAACCGTGCCAGCATAAGCGCAGTTCCCATGCGTTTCATGACGGAGTGCCCCGCGTGAGCGCCCAGCGGCACCTGCCAGCGACGCTCATTCACCGAGAGCTCTCCGCCCAGCCGCTGTCACAGCGTTCCGCCCCGGCCGGCCGGCCGCTGCGCGCACAGACCTGGTCTGGAGCGAGGTGTCGGTCGCCTCCGACGCTCGCATCTCGGCCAGCACGGCGCCGTAGTCGGCCGGGTCGCAGACGACCGTGACCCGCGCGTGGTTCTTGGCGGCGGCGCGCAGCAGCGTCACGCCCCCTGCGCCGATGAGGAGAGGGGGGGGGGGGGGTGATACCGGCGGCGGTCGTGCGCGAGCGCTCGTGGCCCGGCTCGTGGCGGCGTGAGGGAGGGCCATACAAAGGCTGGGGACCGCGCTGAACAGTGCACCGGTGCATCCAGCGGCTGAACTGGATGCACCGACGCATCCAGTCCGGCATCAACAACAACGACCATCAGCCCGACAAACAGCGATCACAGGATGGACCAGGGACTCCCAAGAAATAGAAGAGGTAGCAATGAATTCTCACGAATGTCAGCACATATTGTCGTTATTGGCCTTTCAAAAGTATCCTGCTGGTTCCCAAACATGGGGGTTTAGTATGAGAAACATCATTCCACGGGGTTTATCATCAGTTTTGTACATGCTTAACTAACAACTTACAAAACTTCAACACAACTACACCTACACTTCCGTACCTCCCCCTCTCCAGTCTTGCTTTCACCATGTGTCACCACTGCATCGCTGCATGTCAAAACTGGGTGACGAACGCCGCGATACACCCCACTCACCGATATCGATCTGCTCGACCGCTTCCGGCAGCGTCACGTCCGGCTTGGCCACCGTCTGCGCGAACGGGTACAGGTTGCAAACGACGACGCCGATCATGCGGAAGCCCTGCGCCGCCATGTCGCTCTGGTCCGACTGCTCCAGTCGGCTCAGGATCCCTGCCGGGCGGACCCGCTGCTTCACAGTGCTCGCACCCCGCGGCGCCGCGCGAGAACGGGCGGAGCGGCCACCGCCACCCACTGACTACCCCGGTGAATACGGTGCCAATCATTTGTGCTGGCGTGCAAAATACATGGACCGCTGGGTGGGGGATGCAGAAATTAGCGGCATGCAGCGGACTTTGAATCCCGAGGATCGGATTCCGCTCCTGCACATTGCGTCCATGCTTAACTGGCCCCACGCTGGCGTAGTAAATCTCGAGCCGGCCCCACCCTGGCGTGGTAAATCTCGAGCTGTCATCCGCTGACGGATTTCCGAGAGTAGTGCAGCCAGGCCCCAGTGACGTACCGGCGTGGATGGCCGGGTGCAGCGTCTTCACCCGGCCGCCGAGCATCTCCGGCGCACCCGTCACCGTCGACACGTCCTCCACGGGAATGCCGGCAGCTCGGATGGCGGCGGCGGTGCCGCCCGAGGCGACCAGTGGCAGGCCGGCCTCGGCCAGACCACGGGCAAAGTCCACCAGACCATGCTTGTCAGACACACTGAGCAGGGCTGAAAACACCATAGGTACATGAATTTTGATTATTTTAACAGAGTTGAAACAGATTTAGTGAAATACTTTGAAAACTTGCTGTGTAATCTAAATTAATCATTTCATCATGTTCACTACATACCTATTACCTTAAATTCATGGAAATCCCCAGATTGATGTTGTTGAATAATGCTGAGCAGGCTGCATGCATAGAATCCAAGAAAATTAGGAGCTTAAGAAACCAGCTACCTCAGACCCTATAACACGAGTAACCCCCATCCATTTATCTCTAACACAGAACCTACCCATTGGTTTAGCCATCATGCTTTGGGATGATTGTTGGTTTGGTGGTCACTTCAAACCTGGAAGAAAAGCCCACAGATGAATTCTGATGGCAGATGCACATCTGGCATGTGAAGCAGCAGACAACCACCACAACAAAGACAAATGAAGGGCTATGTTTTGCAAACTACCTTTCCCGTTCCTGCAAAGATGACTGACAAATATTAGTGAATCCTGAACATTCCTTGAATGAATCTCCTTCACTGCCACTGCCACCGTCACATCACTGATCATAAGATCAGTTGGTGATGAATATCATGAGACCACTGACCAGTTAGTGATGATCATCATGAGATCATGATCAGTGATTTCATTGCCATGATGCTGACATATGTATGCTGATACCAGGCATGTAGTACATATCAGATTCTCATCAAACAGACTCCACCCACAGAACTTGCCCCTCATCGACGATATCTTTGATTATCCGAACCATGTAGGCATGCGCCCACATGCCCCAAAGTTACAGGCCCACCAATCCGTTGTTACGTTTCTGACCGACATCATCCAATGTCAAATCAAAATTCGCGGGACAGGACTCGCTCCAAGCCAGCCATAAGCCTCTTACCTGTGCTCACGTCAGCTACGAGCGGCGTCTCAGACTGGCCCGGGGATCAGTACTATCCGTGCGGACCGCAGACTGTGAGCAGGGCTGAGCGATGCACCCAGAGCACGTGCGCACCACGAGATCAGCCCGCGCGTGCAATGACGGCGCTTTGTCAGACGACCTTCGCGCGACCTTCTCAACAAACCAGATCGCGCGCTTGCACCATCATCCCTTCTCATATTGCCTAGCAACGCCGGTTACGCGCCACGCCCCCTCAGCGAAACAAACTCGAGGCAGGCGTGCAGCGTTGTAGCGGTCCAGCCGGCGTTCAGACAATTTGTCTCGGAACCCTCCCACTTCCCAGAACTTCTCCCAAATTTCTGTGTGCAAGCACTCGGCCAGATAAGCGCCTTGGCGTGGGTGCAACTTAGTACATCTTGTCCTGGGAGCCATACTTTGTGAAGACACTGCGCATGATAGCACGTGACGCAGCCGAAGCACGCGCACGCTGCGAGAGTTGGAGGGGCCACGGCTCCCAAACACGGCCGTCGTCCCGCGTCCCCACCATTGGGTAAAAGCATCCGGCATGTCACCCCCGAAATTAAAAGCAACTCCATGCTGAATGCACTGGACAGGAAATAGAAGACATGCAGGGACCTCTCCTTTGCAAACATGGGTTTACTCACCCCCCCGCCCCCAATCTTCACAAAGCTCCGCCATGTGCGCTAACCGCAGGGATGCAAATGTCGTAACCTAACATCGCAAGTTTCCAGTCATATTCTAAAGCGCTTGTGTGGAATTGTCCTGTCGCCAACCTAACGCATGCAAAAATCCCACAGGAGAGAGATAGAGACGTGGTCCCGAGAGCGGATGTTATACGAGTAAGCCCCCACTTATCGCAAGGGTTGACCAGGGATTTCCGAACCCGGCACCTAAATGCACCCAGTGCGGACATCCACCACACCCCACAAAGTATAAGATGAAGCGGCCGGACCAGCGAGGTTGTCTCATTAAGCGGGGGGCCGGCGGCAGGCGCGGGCCGGATCGCCCGAATGACGATTCGGGGCCAAACTGTTCCCAGGGCAACTCTGCCCGATCTAAGAACTGGCACCGGGCGGCGGCCAGGCTCTGGAATAATGATGCGGCCTTTCTCCCAACCACTAGCCACTGGCCGTACGCAAAGACAGCCAGGCCACCAGCTCAGCACCCTGACACGGTGCTGGGTGACACCTTTCTGCACCATAGGCGTCCGTCTTCTGCACCCCCAGACCGACACGCGGCACTAGCAGCTCAGGTCTTGAGACCCAACCATGTTGCATCCACGAACTCAAACCATGCCAGAGCTCCGGGTATTCCGTTACTGGCACACATTTCACCAGAACTGCACGCCCTGATTACAGGTCGCAACATACCGGCATGCACAAAACGTATATTTTTCCTGCATCCTGTACCCTGACGTGAGACACAAACGTGTGCGGAGGCACAAGCCTGGTAAAAATGTAGCGAAATCGGGCGGCTCCGCGAGTGTCTGGCGCCGGCCGCTCGCCGGCGCGTGCCGGGGGACGGCAGCCGGTTGTGGCCAGCGCTCAGGTACAGTGTCTCGATTTGTGGGCGTCCCGGCGCGGGGACAGCGGATGCGGTTCGGGTCGGAGGGGGCGGCCGGCGCGCGGCCAAACACCACCCCGGAATGCACGGCGATTGTCCTTTGTACAGCGGTGGCGCAGCACCCGGGAGCCACGAGCTCACACTAAACAGGAACAGATCGGGGCGCGGGGCGCAGGCCGCGCAGCGGCGACACCTGGCGCCGCCTATACACTATGTACACGGCCTCGCCGGCACGGGCGCGGCTGCCGGCGCGGCTGACGACGGACTGCCGTCGGCAGGACGGCCTCAGGGAGCCGCGCCCTCCTCGGCGCTCACCACCTGGCTGCACAGGTCCCTGCCGGGACGAGAGGCGCGGCGTGAGGCGGGCCAGCGGGGGCGACAGGCGCGGCGTCAGAAGGGCCAGCAGCAGGCGACAGCGGCATACCACCGCCCGGGTACATCGCCGGCCTTGGCGCACATGTGACCACGCAAACCTGAACTCTCTCGCCGCAACCTAACCACTGGCTGCACTTGCTTGCGCGCAGCGTTATCCTTACACCAAATTATAAATGGAGGACCCTATCCGTTCACTACTTAGACAACACGTCTGAAAATAGGGAGGATGGTCCACTGATCCCGAGCAGCCCGCACCCGAAGCACTTAGACCTCGCAGTTGAACAACAGACATACCCTCCACCACACACCATCTCATCCTGGTCTCGCCCGCGCCGTGCCTACTTGTGCATGTAGAAGAAGATGTATCCGTTGCGCTGGTGTCCGTCGCCCAGCACGTCCGCCTCGTCGACGCAGCTGACGCGCCGGTCGTCGTAGTGGTACCAGCGGTCGCGGCCGACGCTGTACACGTCCGACACGTAGTGGCCCGAGTGGGTGGCGCCGCCGTAGTGGCTGACGACGCCCACCAGCCGGTACGTGTTGTCGCCGCCCAGGTCCACCGAGCACAGCGACTGGTCGTCCTCCACGCAGAACTCGGAGAGCCGCGCCTGCCGGTCGCCCAGCCGGGGGTAAGGGCATGCTCAAGGCTCACTGAGCCGCAGCACGCCGGCCATGAGACGGGCCCGGCAGCGAAGCGGCGCCACCGAGTCAAGACATGTCATGTGCGGGGAGTTCCCGCGTGGACAGCTTTGTGACGTACGCAGGAAAACTAATCGCGGTTAGCGCATATCACTAGAGCACACAGGACAGTTGAAAACATTGTCTGTCGCGGACTGAGTGCACTGCCGACCGTGATAAAGGTGTCTCATCGAATAATCGGCACACAAAACCGCAACAGAAGTGATTCGATTTCCTATGGACAGTAACCAACATCTGCAAAAGGCATGACCACATGACAATTCGTGTTCCAACACGGAATGTGAATGCGGCGGTCACATTAATATCTAAAAATACGTCAGCAAAACGCACGATCAATACAAAATTCAGGCAGCAAAAATACAACAGAACATTCAAACGCATCTGATCCATGACACCCATGTAAAAGAAAATGGCAACGACGATATCGCAAGCACGTTGAATGAGTAAGCATCTAGTCATGCGTCTAAACAACCATGCACTAGACGCCAACCCACTTAACGGGAGAGCGAAGTCCACAACTTGTGTGTTGGGATACCGGGGTGGGGTCAGTCAGTGGAAACGATTGATTTAAGTGGAACAATCAGCAACACAACACGTCATGCTCGCTTGCTGATATGAAAGAAAATCTCCTATCGGGCAGGCCAAGGCGATCCCCGGCAGCGGGCAGTCTCGCCGCTCGGCGGGCGCACCACAGCGGCGCACGCGGGCGCCGACCCACCTGCTCGGCAGCCGACTCGGCCGGCTCACCCTCCTCCAGCGAGCGCATGATGGCCTCCTGCAGCTCGCGGTCCTCGTCCTCGCGCGTGCGCGCCGTCTTGCCGTCCGGCTCGGCGTCCAGCACCACCAACTCGGCGGCCGGCGGCGGCGCCGGGAGCGGCAGCGGCGCGGGCGCGGGCCCCGTCGCGGGCGCGGGTGCGGGCGCCGGCGCCTCCGCCTCCGCGCCCGTCGGCGGCGAGGCTGGCCGCGGCGGCGGCGGCGGGGCGGCGAGCGGGGCCGGCGCGGCCGCCACCGCCGGCGCCGGGGCGGCCGGCGCAGCCGGGGGCGGCGACGGCGCGGCCGGCCGCTCGGGACGGGCCGACTCCTCCCCGTCGTCGGAGAGCGCCGAGAGCGCCAGCCTGCCGGGCGGGCGCCACCGGCGTGTCACGGGCGGCGACGGGCGCACAGACTCATGGCCGGCCTGTCCCGTTACAACTCTCACAATACATCCGTGCTGCTGCTGAAAATAGCAGGGCCGACGTTTCAGGACGAAAATGGTTAAGTGGATGGAGTGTACTCCCAAAGCAAATACCTAAACCAATCGTCAACGAGTTTTCTACAGCTAATTGCTACGTTACGCATCAATGCATGTTACTGCCAACTGGCTACCGCCGCCACCACTCCGCACAAAACGGGCCATAACCTATCTTTGCTGATGCAAACTTATTTGGCAGCGTGACCAACTCCAAAGTTTCTCAGGAGTTTGTCGAGGCAAATCATTCAGCCTTTATCCAAAACTACACTAAATCTGCATGATCGTTACAGAGTAAAAGTTAACGTAAATGTCAGCATACTAGGATACAATTGATGCCTCATTACAATCCATGATCCTGGGATTTAGGAACCCTGAACACTTACATATTATGCTGGCCTTACAAGTATATCTCATACACCCCAGAAAACTGGTTATCATCAGTCCTGCCACTCAAAATACCTGACCATGGTCAGACAATGAGATTTGTGACCCAAGTGTCTGGTATTCACTGTCCGAGCACTTAACATTTTCTCGTCCGGTCTGTACTCACTTTGTACACTTCCATTCTGGGGGCCGCGTGGCGTCATCAGCCACATACTCGTTCAGTGAGAGGAACTTGGGAATCTCCACATTGGCCCGAATCTTCTTAGACTCATCGGCCAGGAACACATAACGGTTCAGTTGCAGTATCAGCGTCCTGTCAGGCACACAACACAGCTGTCAAGGAAAGTGAAGGTCATGTATGATCCCATTCACTGCCACCTTTTCACACCAAGTCAACATCAGCATGCAGGTATGTGACCATAGTGAAAAACTTCACCAAAAAAACTAGGAATAACACAGTGCTATTTCGCCGTCACTGCAACCGACCCAGCTCATGGCTACAATCTGACTCCCTGGCACGCCGTCACTCCCACCTGGGCAGCTTGCTGATCTTGGTGGTGACGCGGCACTCGTTGTGCTTGCAGTGTTCGCAGTGCAGCTCGCGCTCGTCCGAGCGCATGCTGAGCCGCAGCGCGTCCTGCAGCGTCGGCGCCTGGCTGCCCTGGCGGCGCGGCACGCTCACGAACCAGCTGATGTTGTCCTGCCGTTTCAGCACCGTCTTGTGGCAGCTGCGGACGCCCGGCGCGACGGCGCTCGGTCACGGATCGGCACACGATGCCGGCGGGAAGGCGCAGCCGGACAGACGGCGGCCAGCCGGAGGAGGCGGAGCGGACCGCGTGGCCACGCTGGGCACGCCCAGCCAGACACCAGCGAGGGGCTCGCATCAAGCTGAACAATGCTCAGCTGAATTGAAAGGGACTTGTCCCACCAAAATACTAACCCTAACTGATGTGAGCCCTGTCCTGGTGGTTATTCCCACGACACTGTCCAGCCCGCGCCTGCGGCGGTCACGTAACAGGACAGCACACCACCCGAGCCGCGCCCTCGCCGTCTGCCATTACACAGCACCTGGCCAGCAGCACTCACTTGGTGCACATGTAGCTTTCGATGGTCTGGTACTCGAAGTTATCGCGGACCGGGTTGGCGGCCGGCCGGCGCGCGTCGATCTCGTCCTTGATCGTGTCCAGCAGCCGCAGCAGGAACTCGTTGGCGTCCTGCATCTCGTTGCCGCGGAACGCCGGGTCTATGCTGGCGAACACCTCGCGCAGGTCGCTGGCGATGGAGGGACGACGGTCAGTGCCAGGCTCAAGTACAACAGCAGCACCTGTCCAGCACACCTAATATGGCAAACAGATGTAATCATGTAGACAAGTGACTAGTCATGCCAACCATACAAAATGAGAATCCCATAAGTTATCACTGGAGCGAACACAGTGTTACCAAACATCACCTTATGTACCAGTTGCTTCACACATGTTGCCTTAAAATAAAGAAAGCATGGTGGGAGGGGGGGGGGGGGACAATGACAGTAGAGAAGGCAGACACATGATGGCATGATGTACTATTGCCCCACTAGCACCAAATAGAAAATTTTGCAGTGCTGCACTGCACCACATGAACCAATTCTGCACCAGCAGGCAACTTACTTGAGGTGGCTGGAGACTGACTTGCCCAGTGCCTTCTGTCGGAGCACCATGAGCTTTGCCACCGCACACAGCGTGCGGCACGAGCCGCCGTCGGGGCCAGAGATCAGCGCCATCATCTCGCTCAGGAACGGACGCAGGCCCAGCAGTGACTGCAGCGTGGCGTTCTGGTAGCACGAGTTCCCGTAGTTTGGCAGCCTGGGACACCAGAACAAACATTTTGTACTTTTTCTTTTTATTCGATTTATTCGAACAGCTTTGGGCTGCATTCAAAATGATGGCAGCCATTTTGAGTTTCATGCAGTTTTCTCGGTTCCTAATAGCAATGTTGTGCATTACAAGTGTCAGATTTCCACAGCTGGAGCATTCACAGCATTGATGACAAAAGAGATTAAGGTAATTGACCCAGATATTTTGCAACCTATCAACACATGCATTTCACAACCAGATGGTCATGAAATGTAAACACATTTCACAACTGATAAGGGCCACAACATTTAACAAACAAAACTTTCAAGTTTATGTAACACATCAGCATAAATCGACAGCACCTTTTTTTTTCTCTCTGCATGACGAGCCATCTTCTGCACTCACCCTATGTACAGTGGATCCTTGAAGTGCCTGTCCGTGTCAGGCCGGATGGAGGGCGGCATCTGGAGGTCGCGCGAGACCTGCGCCTTGCCGCCGTACAGCTGCAGCGCCTTGCCAGCCTCGCCGCCGTTGCGCGGCGACGGCGGCGGCCGCATCTGTTGGTTGGCGGCGAAGCGGCCGGACGAGCCGGACGCCTCGCCGTAGAAGCGGCGCGGCCCGGTAGTCGCCAGCTCGGCATTCTCCTTGCCGGCGCGCTCGCCGGGCCGCGCCGTCCGCTCGGCCGGCCGCTCCACGCGCGCCCGCTTGGCGTCCGGGCCGTGCGGCGAGCCGTCGCCGCGCCGCGGAGACGCGCTGCGGCGGCGGGCTGGCTCGGCCGGCCGGTGGGGTGACTCGTTCTCGCGCGCCCCCCGCGGCGACGGCCGGCGGCTGGGCGGCGAGTGCCACCTGGGTGGGGAGACAGGGCAAAGGTCAGGCCTAGCTGCAGGCCATTCAGGTCTAGACCCACCTCCCCCCCCCCCCCTGAATTCGGATTTGTTCCTGACCATTTGCTGGCAGAAAAACAGACACTACATACAAAAGAACCTTGGCTGTACATCTACAGTAACAAAAAGACAGCTAGCCAGCACATGGGACTCTTAACATAGATCTGTGTGACACACAGCTATAACATGATGTAGCTTAGCTTTGTCAAAAGCTCAATAAAATGAGTCATGATCAGACAATTATCCCCATGACTACTGCTGAATGCATAGCCACATCTTATAACATCAAAGTAGAAGCCAGTGTCCCAACCGTAAGAAGATTACATGCAATTCAATTTGATCAAACAGCAGGGTTTAACAAACCTTTCACCATTGTTGTTTTGGCATCCTTTGTTGGTATTGTGGTAGTTCACAACTGGCTTCCTCCAGCCTTGCCAACCTCTATTGCCATTGTGTTGGTAATCATTCCTGTATGTGTTGTTCTGTCTTCCTCCATATCCTGCCCTGCACACAAGGATACAAATTGGCAGGTCAGATCCAGAGCTCAACCAGTATCAAACATACTGTAAAATATGAAATCAGTCATAACCTTACTGCAGTGCATGATTAAGCCATCTTGTGATATACAGCATAATAGGCTTTCAAATATCTCCTTCATCCTCTGATCCACAAATGACAAGCTTGGGCAGACAACACACAGGTTATAAGCCTCTCCCATGTAGAAGCCCACACCCAAACTACCATATTTCATCAGTTAAAAAAAACTTACCATCCTCCATTACTCTTGTGGTAGCCACGGGCATTCGGACCCCGGTACTGGAACTTCGGCCTTTCGTTAAATGATGTTTTTGGAGAATTCCAGGATGACCAACCCCTCTTATTGTGTGGTCTTTCAACTCTTCTTGGCGACTGGAAATCGCTCCTCCAAAACGGACCTCCACCAGCCCGAGGGGTGAACTGCATGCCTGAAAATGGCAAAACCATGCATCAGCTTAGCTCATCAAAATCAGTTATGCTCTTGCATGGTCCAAACAATTGTATATATATATATATATATATATATATATATATATATATACATATGTATGTATATAATATCCAGTGAGAATGTTCCCACATAAGGAGCAGGATGGTGCAATGATCACAAAATAGCACCAGTAATTTTTTTGGTTAAACCAAGATCATAGGTCTGAGCATTAATTATGCTCAGATAGAAAAGTCATCAAGACCTGCACCTCATACAACTTGCAACACACAATCACATTCCAAATTAGTGTGGACATTCTTAAAAATGTGCCATCAAAAATGTGCTGCCCTAACAATTTTAACATCAACTACTGTGCATCAATATTGATCCCAATTGTCAGCTTTCTACTGGGCACTTATTACAAAGCCTAGCTTATGAATTGATTTAACAACTGTACAAGGGATAGTAATGATTTGAAGGTCACTCATACCTCAGTCCAACAAAACACCCTCAAATGCATCATGAACCATGACATGAACAAGCCTGTAAGATCATAAATTTCTATCCAATATTGACCCTTCATGATGACAAACATGCTGAAACTGAAAAATCCAAAAACAGTCAGCGAGAGACCATGGGCTTCAATCTCAACATGCTATTCCATGCCAGCAGCTCTTCACATTGCAACGAAACATCATAATGCCATCCTAAGTTGTGAGAGCCAAAACAGGCAACATACAGGTAACGCCATGAGTAGTATTTTGTGTGCTACGTATAATGTCACACCACAAGCAACATAGCTGACCACGTTTTCCCGCCCAAATCGACCAAGTGACCACCCGGCTTTTTTCGTATGGCGGAAATGGGGATAATACGGTACTATAGCACACAACATGAATGAAAAACTTACTAAAACATAACACTCTAACTATCAGACGCATGAATCACATGTGTACACTTACCGTCTTCAAATGATCACATTTACGATACCGGCGAACGGGAGCTACGCCACGGCGGGAAAACATCGGCCATTTTGCAATGTAGTGCTCGGCAACAACCGTGCCCAGTCACTACAAAGTTCCCCAGCGAAAATAAATTTAAGATTATTTTTGTGGCACAAATTGCTTAAAATGATAAATATAAACCAAATACGATAATCATGAAACTAGTTACCATGCAAACCTTTCCTTCGAGCAGACCCCGTTCCTGCATTCCCTGCTCATCACTATTTTTCTACGCAGCCTTTGGGCACGGTGCTACTATATTGAGAGCCTCGCACACATCACGCACGAGCAAAATAGGTAGGACTTACAGTCGTATTCCAAGCAGTGAACTTCACCACGCACTTCAATCTGGAAACTTTAATGACATGGGCGGAGACTGTTAGCTGCTCACATACAAAATATTCAGGAATAGGACGTCTATGGCTTTCCTCAAAATTACTACGCATCGCACAACAGTGCGCTCGAAGGCCAAGCTGAACAGGTTGTCCAAAAATATTGCTACGCTCGTCACGGTACTTGCCAGCATTGCTGTTTCAATCGTACTTGGTGCATCATGATGTCGGTAGAATCGGGATCCCTTGCCAGCAGGGGCTTCAGAACACTTGTTTTTTTTTTGTTGTTTGAATTCATCGTGGTTGAGGTGCAGATGTAGTGCAGATATAAAGTCTGCTGCAAAGCTTTCCGCGAAACGTATGCTCTTGCTGCAGTAAAAGGTGATATAGTGGAGAATTTAAACATTCTACTGCATTAGTTAGAAAGTACACGACCCTAAACAGACGATGACTTGGGCTTTCGGGCCAGCCGACTGCCCTTACCCCATGACGCCCACGGAACTAATCTTCTCCGCGCTATCGTCGCAAGCGCCGCTCGAAGATCAGTCAACACGGACGGAAGAGCCGTTCGAAGTATTCTGACTAATGCCTTCATCTGGCGTGATACGACCTTACATTACCGGCGGTTTGGGCGACGCAGTTCCGCAAAATGGGTGCATGGGCGTGGGAGCGGGGGTCGGCGGTGAAAGTGGCAAAACCTCCCCAAATAAACCGGTGGGTTTCCTTCCGGATTTGGCCCACTTTCTTCCTAAAGTTGGGGGTTGGGACTCCCTGAAAGTCAAAAGAAAACAGCCCTCGGAGGCCATTCCCGATTAGCTCAGTTGGTAGAGCGCTGGCCTCATAATGATAAGACCCTGGTTCGTACCCTGCAATCCCAAGGATAAATTCGGATACTGACTCAACAGCGCTTAATGACGACCGGAGAATAAACTGGTCGAACTAACACCAGACGAGGACGTTAGCCCAACCAATTATTTCATTCGTGATAACATTACCTCATCTCAATTCTTCAGTAGAACTAAGATGGAATAGTTCTTTAAAAGGCGTCACCACCTGTATCAGGAGCGCGGCGCTGAAAAACGGCCCAGGACTGCGAGGCGAGACTGTATTGACAAGCACACTTGCGTGCCTCTTACACAGCCATTCATACCTGCAAAACAGCGCACGAGCAAACACACCATGCCTTCGCCACAACGACCGTGGACAGCCTATGTTGGAACAGCCTCGAACCACTCATCACTGGTTGTCTTTATCGCGACATGCCCCGTTGATGCACTGTAGCATGCCTTGACTTTCGAGAACAAGTCACTCCTCGGAGAATCCTACCATGCAGAGTTGGTTGTATGATCACAACATGTCAAATGTTGTCATTCGACTGCTCCGATCGACTACGAATAAATACCAGTCAGGAAGTTCAGACAGCTTGATTCTTAGCCAGAGCATATGACTGCGGAGCGCCGGGCATGACGGGTACTCAGTGCTGATAGCAATGGTACACTCATTAATGGCAACCCACCCTGCTGTTGTGGGGCCTGCGCCGCGTGCGGGGGGCACTTTATAACACCTGTACTCCTCACGCAACCTCCTCCGCGTATGCCTGGACCTCACGGGCTTACAACTGGGGAGCGATGTCACTGGCTTCCAGGCTTGTCGTCGCCTGGCGCTGCACCGCCGCACACAGCACGTCAGCACCACCGTCTGCTAGCCTGCAGCGGCACTCTCACATCTATGGCTACAACGCTGCCCTCGGCCGGCTAGTTGGCGTAGAACCAGCGGTACCAGGCCACCACCATGCGGTCCCAGGCGTTCTCCCAGCTGTCCAGCGCCGGCCGCACGTCCAGCAGCGCGAACTTATAGCTGTCGGGGTCGACGTCGCCGCCGTCGTAGTAGTCGATGACGTAGCGCACCTCCTTGCCGCAGCGGTCGATGATCCAGTCGTGCCGGTCGAATGGCAGCTCGTACCTGCCCGCCGGCCGGGGGAGCGTTAGGGCCGACCGGCGCCGTACAGGCAGTACGAACGTCGGGAAAAACAGTGAGGCTCGCTCAGCAGTCCTCAAACCAAGCCAGTTCACTCCGGTATCACCGCTGGGATAATGCATGACTTCCATCGAGGAGTTCACAGGCCATTTCCGTGTTCGGACAAAAAACGGCGCTGATCCGTGTCTTTACAAAGCGCGCCCTCGCAAAACCGTCCAGCATTGGTACGAACAGGACATCGGGAAAAAGTTGCTTGCATATCGCTGGTAGAAAGCGCGCAAGTTGCAAGTTGTGCAGCTGCTGAACCATCCGACTGCAAATGTTTTGGTCGCGCCGTTGTTATAGGGCCTTGGCCGCGCCCGGGAAATCACGTTAACCTTCGATAAAATGTGGCCGATCATGGATCTAGCCAGCTAGTTTGGCTAGGTGGCCTCGATATTTCCTACGCCACAGCTCGTGACTGTCTGGCTACGAGGTCGCGGGAAATGGCGAAGGACCGGCCTCACAGCGCCTGAGCCGGGCGCCAGGCGCTGGCGTCCCTCAACATTAAGAAGGCAGACGGACGCGGCGCACGCGTGAGTACCACAGTTTAATCGACAAAAAACAGGCGCAGCTGCGCGTTATCCGCCGCCCGTGAATCACCGGCCACGCAAAAAGGGAGTGACTACCGCACGCGCCAGCGTACCCGAGCCAGTTTCTGAACCTCGCGCGTGGCGAGTAGTCTGACGCCTTTCCGCCGAAGCGCTTCAGCTTCGGCTCGCCACACTCGTGCGCGTGCAGCGCCTCCCACTTGAGAATCTGGCGAAGGAGAGCGGGGTGTGAAGCCATCACGACCCTGTCCAGATTCGGGATGATGTCACGCAGGCGAGGCCACTATGAAAAGCCTTTATTGACCTCTCCCTTGCAGTGTCTCAAACCTCTTCCAACAAACTCTGCATCAGCAACCAATACTAACATCATAGACACAAGCAATAATGTAACAAGGCTGGCTTCACCAGGATCTCAACTTATGCAGTATTATGTAGTCGCGCCAGATGTGACGGATGTGAACGCGAAGACGCTGGCTTTTGACCAGAAGGTGTTGTGCAAAATCAAAGGAAAGCACTTCCCATTAAATATTGCAATACCTGCATGTTGGATGCCATATTTCTGAAAGAAAAAATACACACACGCTCCGCGCTTCATACAACTGCCCGCGCTAAATGGCCCAACAGCTCAAAGTTAGGATGGTAGTCACCTCCTGCCAAGCCAGCTCATTATTGACGTTGTGGATCCTGATGATGTTGTCCATGTCCTTCTGGGAGAGATCATCCTGCTTCCAGCGCCAGCCTTTCCGCAGCATGGCGTTCCAGAACATCTGCAAGGAAAACCGAGGGAAACGCTACTTCACTGCAGTCCCCTGACGGGCCGGATGAGAACATAAGCTCAGCCTAAGCGTGAGAGAGACATTGCAATTCGGTGCCCCAAAAACGGTGTACTTCGAGCAAGGCAGCCCAATTTGGTGATGTCGCTACGCCATGACTATGACAATACAGCTACTATGATAGCTATACGATTCACGTCGAGCGCACATTCATAACAGAACGTAGGAAAACAGTTGTTCACGCTACTTGGACAGCGCCAACCGTCGGCGAGCAGAACCGGACGGCCAGCACGCACGCCTCACGTTGCACCGTGCTGGTGCACGCAGTCGCGCACGTCAATGAATCGGGACCCGCCCGTTTGCCCCCCACCGCCTCCGTCCAGGCTGGGTGCCGGCGTGGCACAGAGTGGCTTGGTGACTACATCACAAACTTACATGAGGCCCCATGTTGGTGCAAAGAAACGATCATAAAGCAAAATTAAAGGGTTGCGTCACGGGACCTCTCAGAGTTTCTTCACCCTGGCTTGGTAAGACCACATTCGTCCCAGCCCGAAGAGTGAGAGCGGTGACCTGTGGCGACGGGTAGACCCAGTTGGACGTCTCCTCGGTGGCGCGCGGGATGTTCGACACCTGGCGCTCCGTCGACAGCGGGAACGGCTGATCTGCCGCCGGCACCTGGTTAGGTGGCGCCTCCTGTCGGGCACGCCGGGAACTACGTTAGCCCGCGAGCATGGTGCGCGGATGTAAAAACAAAACGCCAAAACGCCTTAACATATTTATAGTTAACATAAAGCAAAACCATTTCGAAGCAGGCCAGCGGTTGCTGACTAGCCCACAAGCCAACTTCTACGTTATGTTGGTATCACGTGTGAAGCAACAATGCAGGACTATTCTATTTTAGTCATAACCTTTTGCATGCTCTACAAAAAATGACGAATGTCTTACTTCATCCCTGTTAAACAGCTTACAACACATTGCTAGACATACGCTGAGGCGTGCTTTAACTTCATGAAACGAATCAGGATTACGTCGCCCGCAGAGCACCACAGCAAACGCAGGTCGCTCGCTGAGAACAGCCACGGCCCAAGATCGGAGCCGCCCAGGCGATGCGCGGCGGGACTGCCGCACCATGTTGGAGGGGTCGATCTGGAGGACGGCGCCGGCGCGGTCGGTGACGATGCCATGCTGGTGAGGCGGCAGCGCGCCACCGGCCGACATGGGGCACTCCGGTGGCAGCGGGCGCGCGCCGCCGGCCCCGGCCGACATCGGGCACTCGGCCGGCAGGTAGCGGTACGGCTGGGTCGCGCCGCCGCCCGGCTCCGCCGCCGTCGGGGCCAGGGCCGGCGCCTCGTCTGCCGGAAACAGACGCCGGTCACGAACTGCTCTATAAGAGGGGGTGCGGGAGGGGAGGGGGAGGGAGACGAGCGGACCAGATTTGAAACAGTACCGCAAACCGGTGTTCATTTCCTCGCAATTCCATTCGAACGAATGACGAAACCGTGCTGTTCTGCGTGATGGCTACAGACGTTGCCCAACACCGAATGAGAAGAGTAGCTCGTTTCGACGTCCAGCTCTACTGCAGGCCAACATGCCAGGGCTACGGCGGCCTGCCCGGCGCAGTCTGCTTCGGCGGTCTACCCCGCGCAGTCTGCTTCGGCGGCCTGCCCAGTGCAGTCTGCCTGCCCGGCGCGCTGCCCGGCGCAGCCTGCCTCAGCGGCCTGCCCAATGCAGTCTGCCTCAGCGGCCTGCCCAGTGCAGTCTGCCTGCCCGGCGCGCTGCCCGGTGCAGCCTGCCCCATGTCGTCGCCTGACCTGAGCCGCCGGTCGCGGTCGCCGCCGGCTGGATCAGCTCACTGCGCAGCTCCGAGGCCGTCCGGATGGCGGCCGTCGAGGTAGCGTTGCCCATGACCGCGCGGCTGGAACAGACCACCACGTGAGAACGGCGCGGGCGTCGGAGCTCATCCACGGCTGTCGGCAGCGGCACAGCAAGTGTGCGCTACATACGTATGCGCGGTGGCCGCTGCTGCTGTGGACCCCCTGGCTGGTTTTGCATTATCGGCAGAGGGACAGAACAGAGAAAATGTCAGCAAGCACGAGCAATATTTTATTAACGCGCCTCCCAAGCCGCTGATCAACTGCGGAATGGTCAACAGGTCAGCGCAGCACGGCCATGTTGCCGTTGCCACCACTTTGGACGGTACAGATTGCACGTGCAGCTCATGACTACTTGACCTCGGCAACTCTCTACACATGCGACGGTGGTCTGCGTTCTTTTGAAATTTGCGAGCGCTTCGCGTGCTTCCTTTTATGACCCGGTAACAATACAAGAATGATGCGAGCCCAGCATATATTGGCAAGGAAGCTACAAGCTCTAGGACAAATATGTTCACTGGAAGATCCGATGCCCTCCCACCATCAGGTAATCAGCTCGTACTAGGTACCTTTTCCATAACGCCAATGGCACAATCGCATGCTTACTGGTTACGCTAGACAAATGCTTCGCCTACAGAAAACCACCTCCACACATTTGTTAAAGGCATATCTGTTAAACGTACATCTCGTTGCAGTACACAATGACATGAATCATATTAAACGCTGTCTTTCTGATCGATAAGCGGCATGAGTAGGTGTCAGAATATCAACCTGCCCAAAACAGAGGCTGTCCGCAACGCGCAACCCTTGTCTGCGATATGCAGCATCAATGTTCAGAACATGGCTGGAAATTGCTAAGTAACTGGAATTCATCCCCATTCACTTAATATCAAACCCTACGACCAGGCAAGCAATACATTACCTTTTTCATACAACATAGTATCATCCACCAGCTACCCGAGCTTCATTGCAACGGTGACTGTTATATCAAACAGAACCGCTTCGTTGCCCACGGCGCTATGTTTTGTCTGGCAATCTTGACCTGACCTGACCATCACCACCAACAAATCAGATACCTGCCGGTAAACACCCATCTAACATCACACCGTGCCGACCAATCACTGCCGTTTGCCCAGATCGGCCATCAGCTGGCTCCAGGCGCGCTCCACCTGGCGCTGCGTGTACTCTGGCTCCCAGAGCGTGCTCAGCACGACGGTGGCCGCCTCCACACGCCGCGCGTTGCTCATCTGCGCGTCCAGTCGGCGCTCGGCCTGCTCCCCGGTGACGCCATCACGCTGCACGGCGCGACGCACGGCCTCCTCGCGCGGCACCAGCGTCACCCAGACCTCGTCGCAGAGCTGCGCGTCCCAGCCGGCCTCGAGCAGCACGGCCGCGTCCAGCACGGCCACCTGGCCGGCCGGCAGCGCCGCCAGCCGGCGCTCAGCCAGCGCCGCAATCTCCGGCCACACGCAGTCGGTGAGCTGGCGCAGCGCGGCCGGCTCGGCGAACACGCGCGCGCCCAGCCGGCGCCGGTCGATGCGGCCGTCCTCTGCCACGATCTCCTCGCCGAACAGCTGGCGCAGACGCGCGTGCGCCACCGTGCCGGGCTCGTAGGCCTCGTGGCCGAGCCGGTCGCAGTCGACGACGTGCGCACCGAGCGCAGCCAGCCGGCGGCAGACCGAGCTCTTGCCGCTGGCGGCGCCGCCCGTCAGGCCGATCACGTACGGGCCGCCGGCGCGGCGCGGTACGCCCAGCCGCGGCCGTCGCACCGCGCCCAGCCGACGCATGCGCAGCGAGCTCGAGCTCAGCTTCGTCTCCTCGTGCTCAGCGCTGTCGGTATCGGCCAGCAGCGGCACCGTGTACACCTGCATGGGCGGCAGGTGACGGCGCCGCCGCTCGGCCGCCACGCGCTCGGCGCCGCCGGCTGTCTCTTCGCTGACCACGAGTAGCTGCAGGCTGGGGTCGTCGGCGGTTGGGCCGAACGGGTCGGTGATGGGCACCACGCGCGCCGCCACCGTCTCGTCCAGGTCGGCCACCAGGTCGGCAACGCCCTGAACGCGCTCCAGACAGGGCGCGATCAGCTCGCGCAGCGTCTTGCCGGCGTTCATGGCGTCGTCGGTGACGCCGACGGTGAGCTCCTGCGAGCAGTGCAGCAGGCCGGCCGTCAGCAGCAGCTTGTGGCCCGTGTGGATCTGGTCGAAACGTGCCGCCTAGCGCCACCTTGCCGAAGCACGGCGTCGGCCGTGAGAGCGTTGGCCGGCTCCGACTGCGGGCTCAGCCAGCGCCGCGGCTCCTCGTTCACGCCACTGCACAGGCCGGCAGCCTCCTCCTGCACCGGCTCCTGCAACTGCAGCGTCACCGTCTCCAGCTGCGGCGAGCAGTTGGTGACGTGGCGGGCGGCGAAGTCGGGCAGGCCGGCGCACGGCCGCTCCAGCAGCAGCACGTCGACGGGCGCGGCCGTGGCGGCCGTCAGCGCGCGCCGCTTCAGGTGCGTCAGCAGCACGCGCACGTCCAGCTGCGGACACGCGCTCGTCGACTCGGCGTAGAGTCGGCTCACCACGTCCCAGTAGAGGAGCGGCGAGAACGGCGACAGCGCCGCGCCGCGCGACAGCGTCTCCTGGCCCGGCAGCAGCTGCACGTACAGCCGGCCGCTCACGCGCCGCGCCGCGCTGCGCAGCAGCTGGCGCAGCTGCGGCGCCAGCTGACCCAGCGATGACGTCAGCACCAACAGGCCCGTCGCGAACATGACCGCGCTGCAGGCAAGGGAGCGCTCGTTAATTACCCGGCGGCCCGACGGAAATGACGGCGCTTGGCCTGATTTATCGTGCCCGACACCAAAGAGCCACGCAGGTAATTAACTAACGCTCCTTGCACATGTTTCCTTGGGAGTAGCAAAATCGTCAAATTTAAAGTTTTCAGACAGCACTCTTCCCCTCTCACAGGATGGCTTATTTTTGTTTCATTCCTAGGCAGCTCCTTGTTCTTTCATTCCCACTATGAGGTAAGTAATCCTTCTTGTTTTGATCCTTGCTAAGAACCAAAGGGGTGGAGCCTCTGTGGCATACTTTTAACAAAGTCTGTATTTGCATGCTTGACATCACATCTGTATGTGACACAAAGCTCTACCTTGAACTGAAGTGCCAATTATCCAGGTGATATGCTCATATCCTCTGTGGGTGGGATGAAAGGCTTTCAGGGCTCCACTTCCTATGCCCAGATTGTGAACCACTGCAAGCACATTGCAAATGCTCAGTTGTTTCCTTGCTGTTTTTTTTACTCACCAAGTTTCACCCTAAGGCAGCTCCAATCAAGAGGTAGCAACAGGAAGTTGGAGGATTTATAGACATTTCACTTACTGTGAATTGTATGACACTGATTGCATGTTTCATGGCCTGAAGGCCATTGCGCCTAATGCTTTTATGCCCAATATTGCCTTCTGATACCACTGCATTCATTTCTTTGAGGGATGCAAGGTGGCACAAATGACACAAACTCATAGCTGATACTCAGAACTGAACATGCACAATGCTATCAAAGTATACAAATCAGGGTGCCTGATGGGCATAGGAAGTGAGAGCCTCGCTAATCTACACACCGGTGCAATTCTAGCACTTGTTTCTCATTTCATGATAATGTTATAAGCCGATTCAATTCACCTGCTTTGTTTTTCACATTTCCATATATGGTTTATCTGATACCTACGTGGCAACACAGGCTGCTTGCTAATGGGCACCTTAGTCTGGTGGATGCAAGTTTGGGCTCTTAGATATCAATATATGGCTCCTAATGGGAGCAGCAAGTCTCAAGCTGTTGCACCTTCTGGCTTTATTTTGCCCTGACACAAAGAGGCAAAATAAGCTTTTCCAAAAACTGTTCTTGTTGCAACCTGATCAAGTACAATATATTTCATTTTACCTAGTCACAATCCTGGAGTACAAAATCTCCTGGTATACATAATACCAGGAAACATTTATTTTTCCAACACTTCTAACCGTCCCCTTTTCAGCAACCTGGCAAAATTAGTTGCCAATTGATCTTAAAGGCATATCATAAATATGTTCACAGAAACTAGGTGTGAATCAATATATTTCAACTGCACTGTACATAAATTCAATGCTTTCATCTATGGCTCACTTCCAATGACAATCGTGTCAACCTTGGGCATTAGTTCAAATCACAGGCTGAATAATGTGTCCAGGGTTGCTGTGACTAGCAACAAGAAGTGTCACATCCATGAAAAATATACATACAAACTGTATACCAAGTGTTACATAACCCTCCTTGACATTTGTTCACCCTATCATGTGTAACTTTGCATGTAAACCAAACAAATAATGCACAGTGCACCATACTAGGCCAGGAAACTGTGATCTGGCCATGTACACCTCTACTTACACAGAAGCTCTGGATAAGTCAAATAAAGCACAAACCATGAAAACTTAAAGATGTGTTAGTGCAGAAATAGATCAGTAATGCAAAGCTTGCTGTGGTATCGCAGAATATATTGTTTATGGTCATGTATCAACATATCAACATATATGGTCATACATATGAAGTGCACAGGCATTGATGGCATGTGCACAGCCACCCCTCGATGCCAGTAGATGCAGGTGAATCAAATTACCACGGCCACTAGAAGTTGTGTAAAAAGGACATCACCATCACTGAACCAATGCTGCTTTTAAAGGCTTGCTCGTTATCACGGTTACTACTTTATAAGAAAGCAACTCACTAACCTCGGGTAATTACTCAGCAATTGCACATTCATGTGGGCTGTTTTGAGCTTGCGCCGACATTATCGAGGAAACTATCGACGTACCAAAAGGCGATGCCTTACCTTCTTAGACACTAAGGTATGGCTGTGGCTTGCAGCCCAGACAATGTGACTTGACTTGGGTATGCACCTGGTAACAATAGCGTTCAAAGCCTGCACAACTCCCCCTCCTATCCTCGACTCCAATGTTACGTAAATTAGGACCGTGGTCTCTCTATGGCTAGATAGATCCTGCGGTTCGCCGCTGGTGCGCCACTGTGCACGCGTGCCAAGGCGGAATATAAGGGGAGGGATTAAATATCTGACCGAACCTATTGACATCCCCATGCTGCAAGCGTATGGCACACATCAACACCAAGCCTCCATCATTCGATGCCACTTGGTCAATAACCTTTCTTATAAAAAATACGGTGACCTTGGATCAGGCTAAAAGAAAACAAAAATACTAAAAAGGGAAAAGGGGCTGCGGCCAACTCCACGCCATAAGTCTTTGCCGGCGATTAGCGCAAAACCTTTACCAATTGCTGTGCCGCGGTCAACAACCTATCCTCTCCAGAACATGGTGACCGCGGACCAGGTCAAACATCACCAAAAAAACTGCCGAAATTATCTGAAATTAGTTTAGAGACAGCCCATGCTCCGATCCTATGGGCCCGATCGGTACAAAGCCTTTACCAGTCGATGTGCCATGGTCGACCAACTGTTCTTTCCAGAACATGGTGACCTTGCGTGTGGTCAAAGGTCACCATAAGCAGCCGAAACCACCTGAAATCAATTTGCAGACAATTCCATACCCGAGCCTTACCTGAGACGGCTTGACACAAAATCTTTACCAGTCGATGCGCCACGGTCAAAAACCTATTCTTTCCAAACCACAGTGACCTTAGTCCTGGTCAAAGATACCCAAAATGGCGAAACCCACCCGAAATTATCAAAAATGTTTAGGAGTAGAGGTGATTCCGCTCCAAGTAATGATTGCACATCAACTGGCAAAGGTCATGCTGATCAGTGCCGTAGGTTCGGAGCATAAGGTTGTCTGCTGCCTATGTCGGTGGTTTGGGGCGTTTTTGGTGACTTTTGACCTGACCCAAGGTCACCATGTTCTGAAAAGGATAGGTTATCGACTATGGCCGATAGTTTTGTGAATGTTTCATGCCGATCGGCGACATAGCATCGGAACATGGGCTTTCTGCAACCCTGTTTTTCCGGTTTCTGGTACTTGATGATCTTTGACTTGACCCAAAGGTCACCATGTTTCGGATGAGATAGGACTTTTGACCAGGCGGCATCCAATGGCAAAGATTTGGTGTCGATCCCTGTCATATTCTCGGAGTACGGGGTTGCCAATAGGTTTGGTCAGCCGTTTAGTCCATACCTGTGATTGGTCGCCCATCGTGTGACTATTATGCGACGTTGACGTGATAACGTGGTGGCATGACAATTTGGGGCGGTATGTCGGGGAGGTACTGAACTGGGGGCCCGGACTGTCGCTCAACCGTTTTTGCACGAATATCAATGAAGCTGGCATAAGAAGTCTAAACTGTTTCCTCACTTTTCTGACCGTTTACTAAGCATACTTTTTATTGTGTTGCGTGTGCAAAAGCTTGTCTTGAAAATGTAATGTTTCTGTTGTCACTTGTGTTTTACGGGCAGCACGCTTCGCAGAGTGGCTGTTTTTGGTTCCTCAGACGATTGCTTGCTTCAGTTTGCTTGCTTGGGTATTCCAAGACCATGGTTTCTGAGCACACGATTGGCCATTATGAACTAGCAGGTCAAATGTATAAGATAAGCAGTCAACAAAAGTTGTGGGCAGAAAATGCCATGTCAGTTAGCAAGGATTCCACTAGCATGAAGTTACATTTACATCCTGCACACCCGGTTGGATTTAATTTGCAGTGAGATACCCTGCCAATGATCAAATATTAGCTAAGATTCTAGAGGGAGTCCCAGGAACAGATTTACCAAGTTAGGATTGTAGATTCTTTAGAGTCCTGGTTCTTTTTTCATTCTTTATTTTTCAACTAGACCTTTTTCTGGACTTTTGTTAAGTGATCTTCTATAAGCTAGAATCTAAATTTTTCATTTCTTGTGAAATTTCTTGTGAAATTTCAAAAAAATTTCAAAAAAAAATGTGAAAAAAAATTCATTTCTTGTGAAAAAAAACTGTGTGAAGGTTTCTGGGTAAGAGTCTTATCAATATGTTTATGTCAAAGTTCCTCATGGTTCTTAAGAGATGTTGTTGAATCTGTGCTTCTGGATCTTCTAAGATCCTGGGCTCACTTTAATTTTACCAAGTGATCTTTCAGAGTACATCAATAGAGCCTACAAAAGTTTTCATATATGAGTTTGAAAGTCAATACCAAGTGTGGTAAAGTTGTTGAATCCACAAATGCTAACATCAACAAGTAGCACTGTTTAAAAGATTGTGAATACTATGCCTTTTTCTTGCATATTTAAATGTCATTACAGTTCTCACTGGCACTTAAGTTTTAGCTCAGTAGTAAAATTATGTGAAGTTTAGCTTTGGGCATTGAAAAGCATATTTCTAGTGCTGTTCATCAGCTTTTGGCACACCAAACTGTTATATCCTTACCGCAGTTTTTAGGTAAGTTAGGATTATATAAGCATAGTGACTCAGATTGGGTTCCTATATCATAAGAAAATAAGCATCTGTTATCATATAAAACAACTGGGTTATTTATTCCACACCAACTCAACCAGTTGAGTACATTCTACCATTTCAGATCTGTGCAAAATTCGGTCCTAGACATAATCTTGAGATCCAATCATGATTCTGTAGTTATTAGACCTTTGTGCCCAGCTGTTCTCTGTTGTTGATGATGTCAGGAAGTTACATAATGATGGAAGGTCTCTTAATAAAATGGTGGTGAGTGTGAAGCCATCACACATTTTGGTGTCTTAAAATGACAGTATGTAGTTCATGCAATGCCCAAGTGAGAGTTGAAAGGAAAATTGAATGTCCTGCACAGATGCAAGATTACTATTCTTTTCCAATGCAGGGATCCAGTTTCCTCATTTGATGATTCCTAAAGTTCTAGAGGCCTATTTTCAGAATTGGCACTGAATACTTCTTAGGAAACTGTCGATAGAAAAGTGGGGACCCATTAAACACCGCTGCGGTGCAAATGCGATCATAGCCAGGCGGACGGGCGCGGTGCGGCGCCGCTGGCCGGCCGGCCGGCCGGCCCCGTACTATGCCCAGACAGGATGACGCGGCATTAGTGCTACGGCAAATACTTGTACTGGCAGGAGTGCTACGACATCAGTGAAATGCAGCATAGTTCTGCAAGAGGCTGCTCAGACATTAGTTATATGTGACATTTCTTCAGTACTTCTACTGCAGACTTAGAATAAACAACATGAGTGCTAAACGACAAAATTTATGGTTCTAAAACTTATGCATGTCATTACATCCATGGCAACAGTTTATACAGTCTTTACTCATGCACAGTATTTCTTCTACTGCAGAAATTAATACACGACATGAGTGCTACACGGCAAAACGTGTGCTGCATCCCGTCATTACTTATCCTGCATACTTATATGGTATTGTCTTATAGGCGATATTACTGCAACTGAAACGAGTTATAGGCGACGTAAATGTTACACAGCACAGTTTGAAAAGTAACAGAAAGCTTTGTAAGCTGTGAAATGTATTTGCGAGGAACGTCATACATACAGATAAGATAGTACTGCGTGTCTCGTCCCTCGAAGAAAAATCTGGAGAAAGGAGAGATGTTATGTACTTCGCCCACATGCGTTAACCGAAGCGAACAGGGCAGTAAATTAAAAGTTCAAAACTGCATGCCGATCCCACTCGACTTTTCAGGTTCTTTTCAAACGGCGAGCCGCGGTTTTTACAAATCACCAACATCCAGGGTTTAAAGCGATTTTTACTTCTTCGGCCAACACTTACATGCGACACTTGTGCAACGCCGTATAGACCACAGTCCGCAAATTGCAACCGCCGGTACTCTAACGTCAGCACAATCCTAGAGAGAACGAACACATGTGAGGGCTTGGTTGGGCGAAATCAGACTGCCGGTGCGCACATCCGTGGTGTCGATACATTATTGCTGCTGTAAATATTGTGATCGACAGCCCCGCGACGAAAATAGCTCTATGGGCCATTTTCTCCGGCTGAAAAACGTATGGTGCACTGTCGTAGTGTTGCAAAACAAGTTTAGGGGCTAAGTAGATTAAAAAACGGTCAAACTTGCTCAAGATGCATGGAACAGGGTGTTTGCCCCGAATGTCGCTCACTTCCCTAGATGAAGGCTGGATGGAGTCCCCGACTGAATACGAAGCTACACTCTTGACTCGGTGTTCACTGAAACGTGATATTACTTTTACGTGAAAAGTTATACCCATTATTGAGATTTTACGACCCAAACCACAACTTTTACTCGTACGCCAAACACTACAAACACAAAGTCACGGAACATAATACATAAAGAACTTGCATCAATACCACGCACATTTAATCGCAGTATTGCCCAGTGCGGATTCCTTCCCAACCTGTGTGTTGTTTGTATGCCCCGGCTAGGTGTCCACGCGTTTCGCGCGCCGCGGCAAGCATTAGCAGCAGAAGTAATGTTGCGTATACACCAAGACCACATATGTTTTTGCGGTATAATTTTGTTATGTAGCGCTAATTTTGCGTATAAGTCGTTGCAGTAGAAGTAATGCGGTTGTTGAAGTGTGAGTTTTGTCGTGTAGCACTAATGTGTATTAGTATTTGCAATAGACGTAATGCTACGTGCAAACCATGGCTGTAAAAGTTGTTGGAAAAGAAGTGACCTATAAGTTATTGAGGCATGAGTTTTGTTGTGTAGCTTTTATGTCGTGTAGAAATATTTTCAGCAGAATAGCGTCGAAGCACCCCTGTCGGCATGAGTTTTTGGTGGAGCACTAATGTTGTGAAACCCCAGACATCCCCCCCCCCCCCGTGGTAATCCAGAAAGGCGACTCCAAACGGCTGGAATCGATGTTCGAAGGACGATAGCGTCGCGTTATCAGGCTTCTCCCTCCACACGCTATGGCGTCGGTCGTCTCAACCGTGGCTGACATGGCGGCGTGAGCTTCGTCTGAATAGACGGGCCCACGTTTGCAGTGATTTTTAAGCGTTTAACTTCATGCACTTCAAAAGG